ATGGACAGAGGGATGACTAAAAGGAAGGTGAATGATGAGTGGGCAGGTGTTGAGGGATAAATGGAGCTCAGAGAAAGGGCAGGCAGCCCAGCCCAAGCATCCAAGAGGAGCTCTTAACCAACTGAACCTTGAAGATGAATGGATACTAAGCAAGCCAAAAAAGAGGAAAAGATATCCCCTTTGCTCAGTGAAGCCCCTGAGCAGAGACGAACAGGTGTTAAACAGGTCTGATGGGAACTGCAAGCAGTTAAATATGGCTGCCACTGCCTGGCGCAATTGAGAGCAGAGGCCCCTGATAGGAAGGCGCTGAGGATCTCAGACTTCACTCTGACAATACCAGGGCTCCTAAAGGGCTCTAAGCTGGGAAGTGATGCTGTTGGGTATGTTTCCAAAGGTCACTGTGGTATCTCGTGGCACACACTTGAGGGGATGGGCAGAAGAAGGAAAACTGGTAGGGAGGACTCCCCATTATCCAGGTAAAGGATGATGTTGGCTCAGACCTCTCCTCTCCCAGGAAGTCCCACCCCGGCACTTCACGTCACTTTTCTCTCCTTCTGTCCTCCCACTGCCTCTGTGATCTGAGCCCCCATCGTTATCCTACGCCATGCCTTAGGGAGTCACAGAATCTCTCACATAGTAGGTGCCTGGTGATGACTCAGGTCTGGTGAGGAAGGCACAGCCCTTGCCCTGTCCATCCCGTTCAGTGGTAGAGGGTAACCAAGCCCAGGGTTTTCTCTATCCCATAGGCTCAGGGGAGCCCAGAGCTGAGGAGCAGCAGAGTAGGGTGGTGGCACTCAGAAGCTTCTTGGAAAGGGTGCTTTGACTCAGGTTTGAAAGCAGGAAGAGGCCTGAAGGGTGGAGTGGGGAGGGCATTCCCAGCTGGGGGCATGGCTGTGGGAACTCCAGGCCTCAGCAGATGAGTCACCCAAGAGTCAGCACTTAGGTCAGAAGAGCTGGGTCAGGAGTCTTTTTGAGGCCAGGATGGAGGGACAAGGACGCAGAGAAAGAAACCATGTCAAGTCTTGGGAGCCTCAAGGGTAGAAATGAAAGGAGTTGTTTCCACCAGTCAGAGGCTTCAGAGCTCCAGCATCTTGCAGCCCACCCCCCTTCCTGGACAGAGAGGTGTCACAACTGGGGAAGAAGCAGGACCTCCCCTGTCCAAAAGACTGTGGTTCAAGTCTAGACCCCACCCCCAAACAGACCTGAGACCTTGACAAGCCACGGCAGCCCCCACACCTCAGTGTCCTGCCACATGGGCATGAAGATAGTTCCCACCTGGCAGGGGCATCAAGAGGCATAGATAATTCAGAGTGAGTGGCTGCCAAGGAGCTTGGTGCAAAGTCAATGTTTGATTTTTTAAAATTCTTAAATTAAGTCCTAGAGTTCAACCAGTGGAGGTAGAGGTTAGAGCAAAAGAGAACAGGTATCAAAACTCAGGCAAAGATCTTGAAGTAGAGAACAAAGAAGAGTCCTGAACAGGGCTGGCCTCTAGAGTGATGGAGGGGGAACAGGCAGAGAGGCCAGGGGGAGAGCTCAGAGGCCATCAGTGATGATCTAGGTCCGTAAGAACCTGGCCAGGATGGAGTCTGTGGGACCCTGCTGAGGAAGAGTCAGCAGGACGTAAGAGGAGAAGATCCTCTGAGGCTGGGGGCCCAGTGCTGGCTTCCCTTGACCTCGACTAGGGCCTGAGGAGGCAGGAGCTCAGTTCTCATGTAGTCCTGAGACCAAGGAGGGCCCCTGGATCACCCATCATCAGCCAGAGCTGGTTCTTCTCCTCCCAGCCCTGACTCTGGGGGCAATGGAGGCGATATCTGCAATACTTTTATGTCCCCCGGTTCCAAAAGAGGGCTTGGCTTAGGAAAAAA